CTCTCTCTCTCTCTCTCTCTCACACACACACACACACACACACACACACACGTGCTAACTTTAAGAGTTAATTTTGTTTCACATTACTGTTGCTGTATATGCACAACAAGCCCAAACACTATTTGCTATCTGTCTGAATACTAGAGACTTTCAAAGTCTCCAGAAAAACAGTGTTATACCTGTATGATGACCTGCTCAATCTGACCACAGTTGATTTTCCTTTCTAATTCAGCAACATCAGGAACCTGGGAACAGAAAAGTTGAAACATATTAAGTTGACCTGATGTGAATCATCTTTATTAAATGTGCACTCAACTTGTTTTACAACAAAATACAATAGTTTATATCTGACAAACAATACATGTTTAGGTATTACTAATTGTGTAATATAACATGTTGGTGCTTGCCATAGTGAGCATAAAAAAATATACAACAATTCTCCACTCATTATTATGAAATCTTCATGTACTGACAAACAATATATGGAAAAGATGATCGAGGATGATCTGATGACTTACCGTTTTGACCAGATCGAATCTGTCATTGATGATGCCCTCAGTATGTTGTCTGTAGGCTGCATCCTTTGGCAGTTTCTCCAGGGCAGCTAAGGTCTTGGTGTACAGGACACGTAAAGCCTATAGGAACACAGGTTAACTTATGATTTACTATTACATTGTAGGTACATGTATAACCTACTAAAAAAGTAGCCTGCAGTTCAAACTCAATTTCCTAGGTAGCGCTGCAACTCATGTTAAAACTTCAAGTTGTGTCTTATCTTGAACAATACTGTTAAGACTAATAGGTTCGCCTGCTTTACGATATGGATGAAATCGGGTCCCACTTAGCTTTTCAGAATGAGATGTAAATAGTAAAGCCAATGTTTCCATGTGTGAGGGAGCCATGGTTGTAAAAAATTATGTACTCAACGACATATAAAAAGGAACCCAACAGTAGACATTTATGACCCACTGAGCCTTGCTGAAAAATGCAAGCCATAACAAATTTGCATTGCACAATTTACAAACTAATTACACTTGAAAAATCATGCTTCACCTCAGTTAAGGATTACTTTTTTTCAATTTCTACTACTTTGTATTATTCTCAGTTCTAACACACCTATCACAGTAAAAGAAGTAGATTCTAGAGACTCACCAAGTGAGGATCCTTGGCAACTGCCATGCCAGTCAGGCCGGTAGTAGCCTGGAGTCGACAAAATACATGTGTATAATCTTTCAACAAACCCCAGTTATTAGTTTAAATAAGTCATACATGTATTCAATAATTTATTCATATGCTGTTGTTGCTGTCCTTGTTTTACGCCTAGTATTACAGTAGATGTGGTCTCTATGTGCTGAGCACGACATCATGATGGTTGACTCTAATTTAAGGTTTTAAATTTTCTTTTAAGTCACCAAGAGTCGAGAGTCTCAGGAAAGATTCACCGAGTTTCCATCATATAACCGCCCCCCTCCCCCATCTACAGCAAAGGTCACGAAAGGAACTTATGATTTTGCCAACGACATTACACCATAAGCAGATCCATTCAAGACAGTGTTACTGTAATGTAATCTTTTATTCGTAGGGATGATTTTTGAGGGTTCAAATATCGAGAATAACGAAATATTCCTACCTTTGCGCTGAAGAATCTTCGTCCTACTGTCCTTACCAACCCAGCCATGATGGAACTGATAAAATAGTAAGGTAGACATTCGTATCGACAGATTCGCACCAACAAATTACATTCTTTTCTCCCTAAACTAGTTCAAATCACACAATTTTCATACATTCATAGTAGATAAATAAATACTAATAAATTATTTAAGAATTTGTCTCAATATTTTGTCCAAATCTATCACTGTAAAGTATAAAATTATTTGCTACAAATGTAGTGCTATTGATTTGAGGTCAGGCCTAACACACATTGCGCGGGGCTCTTGAAATAGCGGACAGGTAACGTTAGATGAAGGAACAGTGGGATTTTTCTCACGTTTTGAGATATTTCAGGCTTCTTTGAGCACAAGTCATTGATGAAAGTGATGTGTACTACTTTATTGCCTCTCTAGCAGCGGTTCATCTCTGAAAGTAAACTTTTGTGAGTATACTATATTTCCTTTTCTAAAAATTATGTCGATCTCAGCATTACCTTGGCTTGAGGATAACGTTACCTTCAGATGCTTTCATACTTAAGTTAAAATAGCTTGTGAAGAGATGACTGGTCTTTAAAACATCGCAGTAATTGCTTGCATAGTACTTAGTAGTATGGTGTAGACACTGTAGAGTGGTTTGACCACATGGAGGTAAAAAATCACCTCCATGGTTTGACTTTGCAGAGTAAATAAGTGAACACAATGCGGAATGTTTCTCCCCAGAGTGATGAAGGAGTCAGTACAGCATGTCGTGGTGGGGTTCTGTGTCGGCGCTGTCAGTGTGGGCGTGGCCGTTGCTGTCGCACACCGGCTCCGATGGGTGCACTTCTCCGCCATCAGGAGTGGAACCAATCACAAGCCAGAACCAGAAGGAGGCTCTGAGCGATCGGGTACTGAGGGCGAAGGTATTGATACAACAACCATATGTTTGGTTGAACTGCACACTGTAAAATCATGAAATACGACATGTCCTTTAGATGATGTCTCATACTCACACACTATAAACATTTGCTAGATGTCTTGGATGGTGTTGCTATGAGTTACAGAAGAAAACGGGTAACGTTACCCAAGCAACTTGATAGATTTTGCAATTGTTGTTGCTTGAGTAAACTTTCCTTTTTTATCTTGTTACCTGGATGTCTAACCTTCACATTATGAAAAGTACTACACTAAATTGTGTACCTAACATTTGCACTAACAGCCACGAGACCTGCAGCTATCCAGGCTGATGACGTGTTGAGCCGAGAGTCGGCGCAGGCGCTAAACGAGGCACGGGAGACCATACTGACCCTCCGGGCGCTGGGCGGGGCAGACCAAGTCAGCGAGGACGTGGGGGGGAACAGCATCAACTACGCAGAGAGTCAAAACATCCTGAACCTTCTGTACAACATTGCAGAGGACCAGGCTAGGAAAGGTTGGACAGTGACTTATGTCCCATTTTGACCTATATACGTAGTCAAACCTGTACTAGTGACCACCTCTACATAGCTATATTAGGACCACCTGGCCATTTATATACAGTTGAACCTATTCAACAAGTGACAACCTCTACATAAGAACCACCTGGCCAATGTGCCCACTCTTGGGTTAAAGACCCTGTTTTTGATTACAATTACATCATATAGAACATAACAGATTCCTGTGTTTCTTGTATTCCTCAGAGGGTTATGTCCACAGAGGGATCACCTGTAACATCTGTAACACCAGCCCTGTCTGTGGGACCAGGTACAAGGTATGTCTGCACTGTACATGGATGTATGCATGTTATGATTAAATTGCTTTATATATACATAAACACTTTACCACTGAATGTATTGTTTACATCTCTTTTTCCTCCTCTTAAAAGAAGACTTGTATACAAATTCACAGAGTTTTTCTTGTACAGTGTGGTAATTGTGTGGACTATGATGTCTGTGAGAGGTGTGAGCCGCTGGACATCCACGACAAGAGTCACATGTTCATCAAGATCACCATCCCCCTCCCTCCGCTGGCCAGCCCCCGGGCAGCCCTGTTCAAACCACTCTTCACAGGTCAGTGTCAGAACAGATATCGTTGGACAAAATTCTGATGACCAAACATCCAACAGTAACCATGGTTTCTCGCAGTGTAGTATTTTCTGCTGATGTGCTGAATGAACCTTGATACATGTAGGGTATATTGGTGCCAATCAACAAAATACATGTATGTTACATGCATGATGTTAACTGCATCTGGCCAGTAGTGGGGATACAAACTTTTAGTTTTGTTTTTTACCGTAACATTCATATGTTGATTTCAACTTGTACAATAATGCAGATGTTTGGAGAATCAACATACCATTTAATTCACTTGTTTGTATTCTACTACAGGTTCCACAGCCAGAGACCACAGTCTCCAGCCCATCTCATGGAGCCATGTGAAAAGGCTACAGAAAATCACACACTGTAGGTTCTACTGCAGATATCAGTCATGAAAGTTGTTCTTGCAATTTCTAATTGTTTCATTTCATAGGGTGATTGTTGCTGTTTATTACAGGTACCAAAAACCTATTTAGGAACTCTTTACAAATTGTTTTGGGACTATTTTCTAATGCTTCAAGTATGATGAAAATGTGCAAAGAAATGGCAGTAACCCTCCATATTAGATATATTAAGCCTCAACCAGTATACTTTTTGTTTTGCTGCCCTGAAATTGTATTGGATGCCTTTAACGACATGATCTCTGCCTGTCGTAGTTGATCACTTTGAGCTGGAGGCGCTGTATGAACAGTACCGCTGTCTGTGTGACCAGGACGCCGTCATCAAGAGAGACACCTTCAACTTCTGCCTGGGACCGCTGGGGACCCTCAACAACCTGGTACTGGACAGGCTATGGCAGGTATGGCACTGTTTATCTGTTATTGTTTGTTTTTATGTTTGTTTGTGTTATGTAAATGGTAAACTTCCCCATGTACAACATACTAGTTCTATACCTAGAGTTATCATATATGGCCTCGTTCAGCCAATATTGACCATGGTAAAATCCTAACTGATATCAGCCCTACAGCCTCTGCTACAGCAGTAGGACTACTCAGGTTATGGTGTCTAGTCTATAATGTACAACTTTGACTTTCAGTTCTATGACTTCAATGACGATGGAGTGATCGACTTTGATGATTTTGCAAAAGGCCTGTCTGTCCTCGTGAAGGGTACGCAAGAGGAAAAGGCCAGATGTGAGCATTGTCTTCATATTTCTTGTATTTTTTCAATGCCATGTTCATTTCAAGTCACTGGAAGGGTGTTTGTTGCTGAATATGTTCTTGTTTCTCTCATGGCCTGAAAAATGATATGCAGTATTTAGAAGCATTTGTATGATGTGTTTGAACCTTTTCTTCATGTCCCAATCCAGTTGCATTCCAGGGTTATGACATAGAGAAGAAAAACTCCCTCAGTAGAGAAAACCTGACAAAGTTGTTAAAGGTAAGATGCCTTCTTAATTCAAATTATTGTACTCAGATGGTCTGACTTTCTGTAACATTTCAGATGGTACAATATTTCAGCTGCATTTTTGACATTTTGCCTTAATCCTCTATCTTTGCTCCAGGCATATTTCCAAGTCTCCATCGAGCTAGTAAGAGACGTGGTAAAGGCATGTGAAGAGGAGATGGTTGGTGTTACGTTTGTTCCCTTAATTCCAGATACATGTAGATGCCAGCAAGGCAGCAACAATTTAATCTTATATACAAATAAAGATGAGTAAACTAAGCACTGCTATCCGTAGAATTGTCAATGTGTATACAATAGTCAGTGGCATTGAATGGCCTGGTGGTTGGGTAGCAAACACGAGATCTATAAGTCACAGGTTTGATTCCTGGCATTCCAAGCAATGTTATGTCCTTGGGAAAGGCCACTTACTGTTACCTGTCAGTGTTTTTTCCCTGTATAGATGAAATGAAATGTATGTTTTTTTCCACTGCAGATGCTAAACTTTGATGACAGTCAGGGGAAACCTGTGTCGTCCCTGTTCAATGCTCCCATCCCCTCCACCACTGGTCAGCAGGGCAGGACAGCCAACGGGAAACCTCCTATTCCTGGGAACCCTGGAGCCACGTACGGGCCTTTTTATGCTTCCACTGTTGTTCTTTAAGACCCCCATCCACAGAACAATTATTATAGATATTTCCTAAGTAGTCTACTACTTTAACAGCAACAACACCTGGTAAATATATAATATAGAGAGAGCAGTGATTGGTACTGGCAGATTGAAAATCCTGTTTTAAAGTTACCAAAAAGTGCACAAAATCATAGACCTCACTTAGCAAACTCACTTAGCAAACAGATCTTGGTTGTGTGCTTTCAGGAGCATTGAAGTCCTGCATGGTTATGTTTTGTTTAGTAACTTTCATGAGGCAAAACTGCCAGTTCTAAAGCCATAGTTTTCCCTTGTGCAGGAAGAACATGTGGCCAGTCATGGAGGCCATGTCCCAGGATGCTATAGAGGAGATGGTGGACAATGTGTTCAAGGATGCCAAGCTGGAGGCAGGAGACAGGTCAGGGACAAAACTGCCTTTACCCACTCAAAAATCACAACCATGTCAACAACACGAGATGTCTGGTGATCATACCCATGTATGCCACTGCAGTACCATACAAAGCTGCAAGATGAACCAAAATTCACTTTGACCTTCGCTGTCCCAGCCCGAACCTACCTACCAAATATCATTAAGATACATGCACCACACCTTAAGTTGTAACCGGTTAAAAAATCGGCAACCCCTATATATGATGCACCTAACACATAACCTTCTTGATAAAGGTAAAAACAAGGCACTGAAATAGTGATTAAGTCTGTGTATGGACTATGGACGTATTGTTTGGGGTATGTTTGTGTGTCTGTGGCAGCACATGGGTGTTGGGGAATTCCCTAACCACAGACTAAAAAAGGTCAGACACAGGAAGTTGGGTTGGCTGAGTGCCAGTGGGTAAATGCATAGATGTTAACAGAGAAATTTACAACAAAGACTAAAACAAATTAACAGAACAGACCTTGTGATAGCCATAGCTATTTACTTTGCAAATGTCTGTAACATTTTATATCAATATGTTGTTGTTTATTTCAGGATGTCGTACCAGGCATTTAAGGAGCTGAGCACTATCGACAGTTCGCTGATGTCATGGTTTGATGCTCTTGGCACAGTGTTCTAAGCAAGCACCGAAAACTACCTACAAAATATCACCATTATACTGCTGGTGTCACAGGGGAACATATCAGATTCTATTTATCAATATTCAAACAAGTACAGTGTATCTAGAGAGCCTTTCCAGGCCTATTTTTTCACGTTAGCAAAGAAATCAATGCCAGACAAGTTTATTTTTTTCATGCTTGAGATTATGTTGTTGTGTTTTGACCAGCTATGTCATAAAACTATGCAAGTATAGAGGTATGATGTGTATTTTATTAACCACCAAACTGTTACAGGGAAAAAAACGTGTACATTCTGTCAACATTTGAACATGTCATAACAGCATATATCTGTTCAAATGTGGTTTACATACATCATTAGAACAGTACCTTGTTACTCTGGTTGTCAGCAAAAGTATGAATTTGGCTATGGTAGTTTGTGTTTATAATGTACAGATATTTGTGTTGAGACTTTGAAGTGGTCAGTATTGTAGTTAGGGGGGGTGTCAAAGAAGGTGGAAAATATGCACTTGTTATGCAGACAGTTCTTTTCCTGCAAACTTTGAATGGCAAAAGAGTTGACACAAAAAGAGGAGAAAAGTTCACAAACTGTTAACTGCAAAAATATTGTACAAACATGTTGACACACAGTAGCCTGTGGAGTGATTTATTTTTGAGTGGCAGAGTAACAATATCTGTGTTTGTGATGATGATATGTTGAAGTTCAGAGATGATTTTTAGTTGCTGTTACAGAAATCCTTCAATTCCAATACAGATCTTTTTCCTGACACATGTGAAATGTTTAACTGGCTGTACTGATTGACTTGTGTTGTCTAATCTATATACTTTTTGTCAAAAGGGACATTTTTTTTAAATTACAAAGTTGCAATAGTACTGTACGACAATGTGTAGTTAAATGTCAATACATTCTTAGACTTTCCAAACGGTGACTCTAATTTTCCTAATAGGATTATGTTTCACTAACATTTTCCCTGCTCAAAAGGAAGTATATGATACCTAATGACTAGTATTTAAAATCCAAACCTAGCCCTGGCTGTCATGTTTTGGCTATGCAGACAATAGTTCAGGGATACACCACCACCTGCCCCTGCTCATTCTCTGTCATGAGTGGCCCGTACCCCCCGGGGATCTCCTTCCCCAACCCCAGAGCAGACCCCCTCTCGTCCTCCTCCTTTTCAATCCAGTCCAGTATACTATCAATAGCATTGTCGACTTCTGATTTGTCGTTGCTGCAATGGACGCGTTCAAGGAGTCTGACGAAGGTGCTGAACTGTTGTTCATCTCCTGGAAGATAGGTGTCGTCCTCCCACAGGGTCTCTTCTTGGTAGACGGTGGGTACCTCCTCTCCGTCTGCGTGTACGACGGTGTAAGAGAGGGTGTGCGCCTCCACCGCCCTCCAGCCCAGCCCCCACCTCACGATACCGTAGGTTTCCAGCGGCCCCTTGCGGGACCCGCACGCGAAGCACCTCGGGCCGTTCGGGTGGACCACCATGCTGCGGCGCGCGGAGACGTACAGGTGTTTCGCGGTGGCGCAGAACGGCCGTCCGCAGCTGAAGCAAAACGTCGAGCTGGCCGGCAGTTGCTCCTTTGCGTAACTGTACTCACTTTCCTCGTAGTTTGGACTTCTTAACGGTCTCATTATGGTCCAAGCTTCTTGCTCGTAAATCGTTGGACTGATTGTCGAAGACATGAGTCTACTCGAATCGATTGTAACGTTGAAATGAATACCCTGATTTGATACGCAACTGGGAATAGAGACTCACTGCTGGTCACAAAGAAACCTGTTTTTGTTATCATTTGAAGGGCATGATCTTAATATTCTACCTGATGTAGTCACTTCGAACATTCTAAGGCCTTCTAACGTTATAGCTATGCTAGTATTCTATTCTATGTTATTCCCAGTGGGCCAATGTCCACCGACGATGTATCAATATGTGCTAGATAAGAGGTTATAATACAATCTTTCCAATGGTATGAGACACAATGCTAACAGTATAAAAAGGAGGAAAAACAAGATATAGAAGACCTGAAACTTCCGGGAAGAATTTTTTGTGCCAGGGGAGTTGGTCCGCTAAAGGAGTAACGTTAACGGGGGGTGCCCTAATTCCGACCCATCCCTAATACCGAACTAGTTTGAAAAATCCTTGTTGCGGCGTTATGCATGTGAGCACGTGCCTAAAAATAACCACAAGAATTGACAAAGTTTTTGTATTGATATCGGTAATCTCACTAAGTTTGTTTTAGTTCGTACACTCCGACAACAGACGAGTGAAAAATTTGTGTGAATTCGACGCTTGTTCGGGGGTTGACGAGCGTGTCAAAAATGCAGGTTTTGCTTTTCAAACAGCCACTTTGGAGCAAGTAATCGTAAAAAGATTACTTGTTTGGGACAGAAAAACAGTTGTAGATTGTTTTAGTCATAATTTCTAAACTCTCTTCTCAGATCGATTGGACCTATACCATTATTACGTCACAGTTTGTTTACCGCAATGAATGCCGGTCAATCGACGTTTATATTGTACAGGGGTGCGTAGCGCGGTGTGTGTTTGTGTAGCGTTAGCTTAATATAAGGCTTTTAATACAGTACTACTTTCGTCTAATGTCACAACTAAATCACCCATGTGGCATGTAATGCTGTGTCAACAAAACTAGACGCAGCAAAAATCAGACATACCTTACTTTGAAAACTTTGAAATGATCTTTATTCTTTAACTGACCGTTCTTGAATGTTCTTTAGAACAGGTAAACAAACTGTGACGCAATAATGGTATAGGTCCATTAGGGCACCCCTGTTGCGATAGAACGTTCCACCGGCAAAATGACCAAAAACCTGCGTGCGTTTCGCGAACCATTACGCTTGGGTGCAAGGCGCTACACTAAAGTGAAATATACAGCTGTACAGCTTTAATCATTGTGATCATTGTGTTGCGCGGGTTTTTGGTCAGATAAACTATTACCAAAGGTCTGTGCGTTTGCATGGAACATAGGTCGGAATTAGGGCACCCCCCGTTAACAGTTTTACCGCTCCAAAACAGATCAACTCCCCTGGCATGTTTATTTGGTCAATCAATGTTTATTTTTCTATTTGCTTAATATCTGAACTCTTTTGAATCGCTTCTGAAGCCAGGTAGAGGCTATAATCAACCATGTCAAGGTACAATTTACAAATGTACTTTTGTTCGATGATGGAGTGAGCAGGATTTGATATCGATACTAGTGAGGCCCGCTTTCAAGCGCAGACTTGCGGAGAGCTTGAGAACTGCATCAGTCGATATTTCAAGATGGCCGCCGGAAGATGAAATGAGCGCGAGGTTTTTGCGGTCAAACTGAACTATTTGGCGTTGCATTCTTTACTTAGCCATGTCAAGGCTTCAGTATCCGTAGCTTTCCTGTCGAGACTACACGTTTCAACGTTCTGTGAACAACTGTAACCGGAAGGACGATATTTGGCTTACAACTCCGCAAAAACCTTCCAAGTGGTCACGTCACAACAGAGTCACGAGATATTGTCAACACACTAGTCTGTAAACACTTCGGTTTTGGGGCAGCCAGGGACAGAAGAGGACGGCTCTTTAGGTTTTCAGGTTGACGTGGTACACTTTGGAGAGATGACAGATGCTCTCTCGGAACCAGTATAGTCGTATAGGACAGGACGAGGAGGGGGACATCACCAAGCCTCTCTTCGGGGAGTCCAAACCACAGGTGGGTCCTATCATCATAGACCTGTAATAAAACTTTCGATTCACAGTCATGTAACTGTTCTCACGTACTAGTGTGTTGTGGTTCTGGTGAAATACTAGGAAACGCCCCCGCTAGATATGTGTGTAATTTTGTATATGAATGTTTGTGTGTAAGTGTGTGTGTGCTTGTGTCAGTGTATTTGTGTGTGCATGCATGTTTGTTTGTGCATGTGTGTTAATAGTAAAACTTATGTATCTATAAATATGGTATGTGTGTGTGCATGTGTTTCTCGAAAATAGAACATAGAAATGCATGCATGATTATGTATTGCAATCTGTTCTTTGCTTGAGATTTTAAAGTCAAGATAATTTTCTTGATATGTGACAGTCATGAAAGTTCTTCTGCAAAATAACCAGTTGCAAATTATTAAAAATCACCACACCCTGTTTTCTACATGTTAAGTTATCTGGTTTGTACGTGTGCAGACACACATATTTGTAAGAAGGAAAAAAATTTGGTACAGACTTAGCAGTAAACAAGCAAGTCTGACAGGATATCAGATTTCCGCACACTTGACCTTGAACTTCCTGAGTTCTGCTAAGGTCACGGGAATTAGTATGCATGAGCAGATCACATTTCCTCACCCTATCCAGGGTAACTGTGCTGTATTGGGGTATAGAATCTCAGTTAACTTCTTCAGCTACCCTATTCATATTGTCAAGATGAACTCACTTGTTGTACATTGCATATCTCAAGCATGACTAACAGTTTATGAAACTTGTGTTTCTTGCAGGAGCGAGTTATCCACTGGGTCCTGGGCTTCCTCACATTTCTGTTTGTTGGAGTAAGTGTCTATTTCTGCAGATACTGTATTTGAATCAATTTTTTTTTTTAAGTGCAAAAAAAAGTGTAATCAGTAACTTGACAAATACCAGTAGTTTTTGTAGTCATCTTATTTTGCTTGACTGTTCTGTATTATTTTCTAACAGGTGACTTTGGTCAGTGCCTTCATCTTCCCAAAATGGCCGCCGCAGCCCATCAACCTGTACTTCGGTGTGTGTGTCATCCTCACATGCATCTCCAACATCATCCTGGTCAGTTACAACGCTAGCCTGGGTAGTATGCTAGGGGTTAGGATTACTTTTGGCCCAGTACGTAGCCAGTTCATCATCTTAGTTACCATAGGTTTACTTTTGATGTAGCACGTTGCCTGGATATCGTAGTCATGCTAAGGTCACATTTCCAAACCGGGGCCCGGCCAGGCTGTTTGCGTGAATGAGAAATATAACAATTTATATCAAGAATGATGATATGGTCTTTCGGTCAATATGAACCATGGTAAAATCCTAATTGATCAAGAATATATAATTTTGTTGGGTATTGTGACACCTGTATGTACTTTTCCAATAACCTGAGTTCACTTTTTCTCACAGATCTTCTGGTACAGGAAGGGAGACATCGACCCCAAGTTTAGGACCCTGATCTACTATAACGCCTTTGTGATCCTGGTTCTGTGTGTGTGCGCAAACCTGTACTTCCACGGGGTGAAGTAACATAGCACCTCTACCCTACAGGGTACGATGAAGAGAATATTGTATAGGGTGTTCGCACGTGGTGTCATGGCCACCATGCTTGTTGATTAAAACTGCTCACACCAGTATATATCGACAGAATGTACTGCACCTGCACAAAACCCAGATTTTTCATGGTTTTCATTGGATGTTAGGTCTGAACGTTGCATCAAAATTTTGCGACACAACATTTGAAAACTATAGATGGGACATTATCCTTAAGTAACTCAAATACACCTTAAAAAAACGTGCACAATACATTAGAGGTTTTGTGCCAGTGCAGTACATTCTGCTGACATGCTGCAAATTGGTTGTCTTCACAGTATACTTCAAGTACAACACTTTTAGTCATTTGTTTAGAATTTAATTCTGTTTCTTGTATTATAGTAAAAATCAGCACTACATCTTTGTCTGTGGACTGTGGAATCAGATATTTCCTTGTATATGAAATTCAATATGAAATAGTTAATATGAATGGTTTAAAAACTGACTCCTAGGACATATAAGTAATATTTCTTCTCAGGCCCACTTGAAATGTACAGAAAACAGGCATTTTAGCTTCAGAAATGGTATTTTGTTGCCATGTGGAAAAAAAGTTGTATTGGTTTCACTACTTAAAAGTTTTTTTATTATTTTTGCTGAGGCTTATAGTACTTACAGCATGGACAGTGCTTTTGTGTATGTAAATTTTGTTAGTAATTTATTTGTTGCTGCTGACTGAAGATGATGCATTTTATGTACAGTGGGACATTAATTAGTTAGCTAATTCCATTCATTAGACAACTCAGAACTAAATGCTATGCTAAAAATACCCATAGCAGTGATAGATTTATTTATACTCCTATTATAGATATTAACAATTTAGGGATATTCCACTAATTAGGTTTTGGGTTAGCAGCTCTCTAATCTTTACTTCAGTAAGCAGGTTCAGGGTTCCAACTGTGCATACATGAGGTCAAAGGTAAGGAAAGGCCCCTTACTTGTAAAAGTCGTTGTCTAGACCATGCTTCATACTAATCTAAAATCCAATCCGAAGATGGCTATAGTTCATAGACACTCCATTCCATTGGCCAATGGATACTGCCTTGGCACTGTAGGATCTGCTTGGAGATTAGCTAGATACCATGTCCAGTTGTGTTCTGTTGATGTCTCATTGGCCTTCAACTTGGACATACATATATTACCCACGGTGCATCACACCACCTTCTGCTGGAACCCTGAACCTGCTTATTATCCATCAAAATGGCCGCCTCTTGATTTTATGTGCTACACATGTATAACAAAACTGGCAGAAATGTACATTATCTACATGTAGGTGGGATAGGTTAGATGTTTGACTTATAAAAGGAGAAAGTATGTGTGATGGTATTGGTTCTGCACTGACTTTAATCAAGTATAATTTGACGATATGTACAAAATAGACATTATACTAGTATATCCTTTTGAGACGTGTGAATTTTTAGGCTTTGACCAACATTTGGTTGCTACCATGCATGCTACTTTTTTCTGTACATTGCCTGAAACACATTCCATCATCTGGCTTTGACTTCTTTGCAGAATTTATGTTAGCATGAAGCATGAGTTGTAAATTAATACAATTAGACTGGTTACATGAAGACATTTTGCTTGAGTTGTATTGGTTGTTAAATTATTGATTGAATTCAGCATTGTTTAGTAAGTTATTGATTTAAGTTAGCACCATTTTTTTATAGCTAAACAGAAATGTAAGAGAATGTTTAAGCAAGAGTGGTGTTTGATTTTTGTGTGGTCAAACTACAGTTTAACTGTTTGGAATTGCCACCTTGTGTACTTAAATATGCTGTAACCTGTTAAAAATTAAAATGTTTTCACAAGTTGCTGTATTTGCCTTGTCTGTTTCTGGCCAACTATGACAGTTTGTTAAACCCTCCTCTGAAAAAAGATGACCTCCACCAATGTTGGCTGATTCAGTGCTAGAACAAAAGTAAGTGTTTCTAGTAAACCATATGACATAAAGAAAATGGACAAAAACTGCTCAAGTTAAAATCAACCAATGCTTGTTGAGAACTTTTAATTCAATTGGCAACATTTGAGATAATGACAATAAAGTCAACTTCAAGTACATTGTATTGTCATTTATAACAATCTTCTCATTACTTTGTATGTTTAGTTTCTGCTAACATATTTCACTTAATCACAAAGGCATCATATCCTAGCACATGTCTGATTCTGTATCCAGGGGATATAGCAACAGGAATAAATAAATTCATGGAATAAAACTAGGGACTGAAATATCCACTGGATAAAACAACAGCACCTCATTTAAGTTACTAGGGATTACATCATGACATAGTCATCACTTCATTACAACAAAATCCAGAATACAAACAAAGATCTACCATTCATTTATCTTGCATTGTGGCCTTACCAGTAAAGAAGAAATAATAATACAAGCACATAAGAGTTCGGCCAACATCAATAGTATCTTGAACATTGAGTCTTAAAACCTCCATCATTTTCTGCAGTATACTTCAGTTGCTAGACCCATACTATGATATATATATGTATATATATAATAAGCAAGGCAACATTGCAGTTGATAAATATATCTATATCTATATAATGTAGTATATATTATGCAACGCAAACTGGATTCTATGAATGGCATGATCTCTGCATTTTTATGGTTGATTTTTTCTTCATGCTCTCTCATAAGGGAGTTTGAGTCTTGGTGAGGCAGCCATTCATAAGATGCAGTTTGTGTGGCAGTAGTAGAGGATGGGTGAGAAGTTGAAGCATGCTCAGTTCACCCCCCTGAAGTCGGCCATGTCGTCATCAGTGTGAGTAGTAGAGGTGAGGTCGTGCTGCACCATGTCTGAGGAGGAGGCCAGGAGATCAGGGTCCGAGTGCTGCAGGATGGGGCCTGCGGAAAAAATACAGTATCTTCAAGCTGTAGAACTTAACACTTTTAAATCTTCATTAAATACACTGAAATACAGCAGAGTTACAAACGTTTTGACTGCTATGCAGTGATCTTCATCAGTGAAAACTTTATTTTCACTGATGAAGATTGCTTAGTTTAAAGACTTCTTTTTCCATATCTTTACACGCGGACTTTTGTCTGTCAAAGTGGACAGTTTGGGTGATATCTTGTCTGTCATGAGTGACAAATTCCATCAAATGACGGAAAGAGGGATGTTACCTAGAACACTTATTCCCACACTAGATGATCATACCTGTGAGAGTTGCGAATGGTATGACATCAGATGTTGACAGCTGTCCGTCATCCACATCGGAGGTTGAGGACTGCACGAAGGTGACGTTGTCACTGACGATGACGTAGTGAGTGGAGGCCGAGGTGGTGACGTCCAGACCCTCCGACTGACTGACATCTGCCATACTGGTGCTCACAATGCCCTAAAAACATACATATGTGGAACTGTTAGACCACAAAATACTTCTGTGTCTGTACAGCTCATATAACTGCTTATATAACACAACAGCTTTGCAGGATAAAAAAAAAAGTTGCATTTTATATTTGTTATAGATTTTACAAAACAGTTGGGAGTTGGGGCATTAGAATTACCTCAGCTGTCACATAGTGTGCACTGTCAGGCAGCAAATGTGCAGTGGTGATGCTTCCATCATCACTCAGCCCTGATTGGCTGATGTGGCTGTGGTCCTCAAGATCTGATTGGCTGATGGAGTGGTGTGCATCCAGCTCTGATTGGCTGCTGCCAGGTTGCTCTCCAAGCTGTGACTGGCTGATGACATCTTGAGAGCTTATCACTGATTGGCTGATGGCTTCTGCACTGAGATCTGATTGGCTAATAGTGGCGTGTCCAGTTATATCAGACTGGCAGATTCGAACGTGAGAAGTAAAATCTGATTGGCTGGCTATGGGGTGGGCAGTGTAACTTGATTGGCAGACAGCTGTATGACTACCGTAGTCTGATTGGCTGATGTTGGAGTCCTCACTGTACTGTGATTGGCTGACATTGTCCTGTAGGTGGCTGCTACAGGCCAGGTCTTCTGACTGGGAGACTTCATTTAAACCTGTAACATAAATTGAAGAAGAGTCATTCAAAACTGATGATGTTCTTGTGGAACAGGTCATTAATGTTGTTCGCTTTAGTGGGTGTGCATTAATAGGTTTTATTATTTTAAATGTATCTTGAAGCTGAAGTAGAATGTTTTAGAAATTCCAGACATGTACTGGAATGGCATACTTACTGTCGTCAGGATGGCCCATGCCCTGATCGGGGAGTCCTGATTGGCTGATGGCGGCGATGTCGGAGGTGTTGAGTGTGGTGGTGATGTCATGGTCCTGGCCGGTCGAGGTGCTGATGATGATGTGGTCAGACTGTGGGGTCAGCTGGACGGTCACGTTCTCATTACTGGCCAGTTGGTCAGTCTGGAAACAACAGTACCACATATTAGCACATTGGCAGAACATACTGCACCTATAGGAAACCTAGATTTTTTACTGTTTTTCATAGGATGATAAGTGTTTAGTGAACCGGTTGCAGAATTGTGCCGGTTGCAGTTCCAATTCAACATTTGAAAACGGTAGACGAGATATCATCCTTAAATATGCGAATACAACTTTACCTTACCTTACCTTTACCTTACCTATACTTACATACAACTTTATCTGAGGACATATTGCCAAAATGCTATATACAATTAAGTCAATAAAGTATCCATCCATACCTGGACAGTTTGAACGATGATCTGGTCAGACGAGGTTGGCGTGGCGGTGTACACCATGCCGGAAGATGGACGAAGGATGTAGGTCCCCTGGGTACTGGTAGGGGTCAGCTGCATGGTGGACTGCAGTACCTCAAACGACTGATAGGAGGTGCCGGCTATGAGCTGGCTCTCCTCCGGCTGCACTGGTTGGTTACCTTGCTCGGCGGCTGCTACAGTTGTGGTAGTGATGGTGGCTGTGGCACCTAAACAGATGAAACATCCGCGGTTTATCTATTACTCTCCCACATTGAAGTTTGTGTCCCCTTTAAAGTTGAATTCGAAAACAAACTAGGAATTTGGATGAATCTTTTCAATGTTACCTGCACCAGAGCAGGCATGTAGAAAAAGTATTTGGTGTCCTGAATGTGTTCTTACCAGCCTGTGGGACAGGAATGGGCAGCTGGACAGTGGCCATGTTGGACAAGTCCTGGCCGTGGCTTGGGCCACCGTTGACCAGGAGCTCCCCCCGGATGTCACGGGTCACTCCGTCCAGCCGGGTCACCTTGATTCTCGTGATGTCTGACCGCACGTTACGTGAACGCACCGTGTCACTGAACACTGTCTTCAGACACTGCACCAAGGCTGGGTAACAAGGGAATTCATTTATTTTTTTTAAATCTTCATATTCAGTCTTTAAGGTTCACGTAAAAGACTTTTTCTATCAGCAACAGAAGTATCAGGAACAATATAATATGCTTCATTCTTTCATGCCTCTTGTCAATAATTGTTAATAATAAGACTTTTTTTTTTCTGAGTGTGAATGGCTATGTTATATATTTCATCACAAGCCTACTGTAGATCCTACTTTTTTTGTCTCTTGCCTGACAGACATTTTACTATCAGTGAAAATGATTGACATACTTGGAAGGTCCATGTTCTGGTGGTCAGCGATCTGTCTCTTGAGTGACCACCACTTACTCCGTAGCCACTGGGGGGACCGGACACTGGAGTGGGGACGGGGCAATGAAACATACTTTTAAATGATTATTTTACTAAATCTCATAAGTTTTGCTGATCTTACTATGATACAAACATACACATTATCATTGTAGTCAAAATCTTTATAAGACTACTAAAATTCTTGCAAAATTATACTTCAGGGTAAAAACCATGTCCATGTGCTGCTAGCTACACATGCACAACATACTTCTATTTGAATGAACAGCAAGCAGCTATAAAGAACAGAATGACTCTGAGGTATGATATATGTACAACCAGATGACTCACATCATTCTGCTCCAGCCCTGAGCCATTTTCACCCAGTCAATATCAGTGTCGTCCTTTGTGTCCAAATGTTCCACCCTGTGGAGAAAAGACTTCTTTAGATAATGTTATAACTTTAAAACTTCAAACAACATGTTACACCATGTACAATGTATACAAATATGTAAGTAAACTCTAAAGGTAAAGGTAGTCCCATAGCCTTGAAGCCATAAATTACACCTGGGTGGAATGAGGAAAGTTGTGTAATGTGCCTTTCCCCAGGACACAACATCTAGCAAAGACTACCAGGGACCTCTTGATCATTTGTCTTCTAGCCTAGCCACTCGACACCACTAAAGGCTTACACATGTCTATACCTTCTTTACCAACAACACACAACTTTCAGGCCATCTACTTGTTACGAGATGTTGATGTCGTACTTATGTATCAGGTTCATATCATCCTCCTTGGTCCACTCATCTCCCCCCGCCTGTTTCCAGTTCAGGTAGTTCAGCCACTTGGAGCGACACTGCTTCTCCGAGCGCGTGCCCACGCGGTGTGCCACCTCCGCCCACGAGATCCCCGACGTCACCGGCTGGCCGTGGATCGTGTTCGTCACCTCGTGAACCGCGTCTTGGAGCCGAGTTTCCTCTTCGTTACTCCACTTGCCTTAGAACCAATGAGAGAATTAGATTCCTCAAAACTGGAGATTTTAACATTACACACTTACATATTAGTTTACATTTAACTCAAATCAGTTAAATTTCAAAAATGTGATATCAGAGTTAGACTAAGAAACTACACATAATGGTTAATAAATGATTCTAAGTATACAGTACTCTCTCTGTACCAGAGTTACAGGAGTCCCTCATGAGTCGACACCTGTCTTTCACCGATGAGGCACTGCGACCCAAGGCTACCCCGATGGCAGCCCAGTTGGAACCATGCTTCTGCCTTAACCTGGAAGCCAACATCAGCCAGTCAATAATTATTCTATCAATGGTTAGTTCCTCACAGAACAACACATTTCCTCAACTTTTCAAAGGTTTGGATTAATTGGTAATTGATAAGGAATGTCTTCCTCCTGCCAAGCCCTGTAACAAATACAAAGATAGCACCAAAAAGCCACGTCATCAGGGAAAGGGCTAAAATAGTGAAACAACAGCTACTATGTACTCACTCTTTCAATCTCTCAATCTCCTCAGGAGTGTACCTAGAAAAAAACAGACAACAGAACATTTTAGAAAAAAACTGCAAAATGACACTAGAAATTTGTTTAGTACAATGTACTTAATAATTGAGAATTGGATTAGTGATAGCTTTTTTCAGACAAACTTCCAGAACAAAAACCAAAATTGGAAAAAAAAAACGAAATCATTGTAGCCATAGTCGAACTACGATATTCTTACTTTCCGACATGGTTCCGGTTGTCGTACATCCGGAGGACTCTACGATAAATGGCGAACAGTGGTCTGTTTAGGCCTTTCGCGATGGTTCGGTAGAAATCCTTCCGCTCGTCTTTGGACATCTCAAACACAACCTCAGCAGCATCCTCAATGTTGTGGTCCTATGGAAAAAAATCATGGTCAAACCATTAACTTACATATAATGAATAATATCAAGCTGTTATTCTGCTGTTGAAGACTTCAATACCAGGTAACACTGATTTGATTGTAGTGTACACAACAAACATGTATTAAGCAAACAAGAGTATCCTTGTACAAAATAGTAATCTGTTTTCCAGTGCATACCTTACAGTACTGTTCAATGTTGGCTTTCAGTACTTCCACCTCTTCCTTGGACCACATCCCTTGCTTCCAGCTGTGACCTAAGGAAAAGGGCACAGGGAAGTCAATTGTTTGTCTTTTAAGAGTCATCAAGACAGAATCTGATGGATAAAAACACCACAATTACTTCAAGAACACTACATCATAACAATGACCATTCAAAGAAGCTAACACTCTATCAAAAGTATCAAACTGAAGAAGATTGTTCCTGTGCAGTAGTAATGTTGTACCTTTGCCATGCAGGCTGGTTTTGTCCTCTTTAGTGGTGAACCAGGCCTGGTTGACTGGAGCCGCCTCTTCTGTCTTGTCAGAGGAGGGCGTGGCAGGCGAACTGTCCATCCCGGACACCTCTAACAGCTGAGACAGAGTGGAAGACTTTAAAACAAATAAAAAAAACAAATGTGTCTTCAAGTACAAAAGTAGACATTTGTAACATGGGGAGATGTAACTGGACCCATAAATTTTGTTTCATTCTTGTGATGTTACCATTCAGTTGTACCTTTTAGGCTTCACATGCTTAAGGTAGGCACCCATTTGTAGTGTTTATGGGGTTAGACAGAAGGGAGAAAATTAAACACACAAAATTTTCCGACCACACCTCTCTAAATGAGCCAGCCCTTGCCTGTATCTGTTGTCCCGAGGTCGTAGCCAGCTGCACAGCTGTAGTCATGGAATCTTCCACATGCTCCAAGGTCGACCCTGACACATGGTGAAGGTCATCTTCACTTGTGGGCACACTCTGGTCACCTAAAGGAAAAAAATCAGGTAAAATTTGGTAAGATAAGTTCCACAAACTGAAATCAGCCACAAAACGATCTTCCATTCCATCATTCTGCTATCAAATGGAGATTAGGAGGTATACTGTCCATCTTGAACTGTTGTACTGCTGTTCTCAACTGTAAACTGAAAACACAGTGGAAAACTCCTCCCCCCCTCCTACTGCAAAATAATGTCCTTGTGAAAATTATTTACCTTTCATTAGCTGTTCCTTGTACTTACCAGTCACCCCTACCAGCTGTTCCATAGTTGTGTACCCCTCCCTGTAGTCATCATGGTTCATCCGGAGTTTCTTCTCAGGGTTCCCATCTTCATAGTCATCATCACTGTTATCATCACCTTTCCTCTTCTCTCCTCCACTGTCTGCAGCCAAGCACAAAACAGTAATTTGTCACTTTAGTTTATCTCTTTGATAAACTAGGAAGAGATATTTCCCAAATGCTGAGTGCTAAACAGAAAAGCAGTTACTAGTAGTATGTACCACAAATTGATTTTTTACTCCACCGGGGATCGAACCAATGACTAACTGAATGCAGAGTGAACACACTGCCCACTTGGCCACTGCACCAGTTCTATGAATTGAATGCTGAGGTTATGACAAATATATAGACTGAAAACAACTGGATGGCTGCTACACAAGGATGCTGAGGCGTGTTCATAATGTAAATTGGGAACAACATCTGACAAACAAAGAGCTCTATGCTGGTCTCCCAAAAGTGACGTCAAAAATAAGAGCTAGGCGACTACGGTTTGCTGATCACACACTGAGGAACTGCAGGGAAATAGCCTCGAACCTTGTCCTGTGGTCCCCAGCACATGGGAGAAGGAGGCCGGGAAGACCACCCCTCACTTACCCAGACGTGCTGCAAAGGGACGTTGGCCTTCGGGCCGAAGACATGGGGAAGGCTATGCAGGACAGAGACTACTGGGCAACCATGGTGGTTCGGGTGGCAGAGGAGGACTGGCACCCGACTTAAGTCAAGTAAGTCATAGACTGAAACTGCTGACCTGGTTCCATGTTGAAGGATTGGGGGCTGTCTGGGTGAACGTTATTGTGAGTCAGACAGTCCACATTCATGTCCAGGTCTATACCAACATCCTGAGCACCATCCATAGTGACACACCTGGAACAATAGCAGTTCTTTGGTCAGAGCAGTACAGTCATTCGCATTCTATTTCTAGGCATGTTACAGAATTAACATCTTGCACCCCCTGAACCAGTGTACAACAGCACACTGGCATTAGACTTTGTTAAGTTTGTATTTAATTAATAACCACATTTAGCAGAAAACATAGAACATGTTTTCATTCCCTGGCCACATTTTAACGTTATATAACATATTTAACGTTAAGTTTCCATATGTTTTGTTGATGTTTTCTAACAAAGAAATTTTCGCTCAAGTATTTATACATCGTGATCTCAAATGGTTTGAATTTACTTGATGATTTCGAGCAAAAAAGAAACAATGGTAACATGCCCCTAGTTTCAATCCACTATCAATCTAGCCGCGGCGACTGTTGCAGGGCTTCTCTTGCTTGCAGTCTTTTACATTAGCCCTAACAAAAGACTGCAAGCAAGAGAAGCCCTGCAACAGTCGCCGCGGCTACTATCAATCATATTTTGTTTACAACATAGCGAAACTTGGCCTATCCCCGATCACACAACAAAAATTATGGGCATAATTATTCCGTAATTTTACCAGATCAATTTTCACAAGAGTATGGTTTTGCCATCATGTCAACAAATGCAACATAAAACATTACGGAACATTCATGACATATGTCACTTATGTCCTTATGCATCAGTACAAAAAATGCAAAATGTTTTCCCATGTTCGCTACCCAGCCAGCCCTCTAGCGAGCCGCCTACCGGAAAGAACGGCGCCATGACACTCTGACTACGTCTGTCTTCCCCTAGCAAGGTCAACCTGGCCATATTCCCGACATATCTACCCGTTTCCCCTCAAAATCGCCCCTGACCGTCCCCCCGGGGCCCGGGAAGCAGGTGGGCCGAGGCCTAGCTCAAAACTCGCGCGTACTTCCTGATTTTCGTCCGGGAACTTTACGGCGTCAAGACCCAGGATGAACACCAGGACCAGGATGTAGACGGACGGTTGCCCGGAATATTCACCGGGATGTAGCCATCCGCGACGATTTTTATCAACATTCTCTATCACTCATCTGCTCTGTAAAGAATCGTAAGACTGCTTTATTACTACCTCAGATATGTGTTACTTTATTTTCTGCGGTCGAAATGTACAATTTATGCCCAATTTTAGTAACGTGTTGGTCGTACTATTTTTTCGCTGAAGGCTACAGTAAAAGAAATGTTCTGTGCATAGGCTTATCTCGCATGTTCTCGCGATAATCCTCGCGACTTCGATCAACTTGACCCGAGATTTACGAGGTCGTTAACCTTTGCCCTGAGAAAATGGCGGCCCTAGTGAAGAGTATTTCCCGTGTTGGCGGTTTTGCCTCGCTTTTACAGAAGCAGGTAAGGTTGTGTGGCTCTTTTGTAGCATTAAGTGCAAAAATGTGTTTTGGTACAGAATATTCTGGGTGCAGATTAGCCTTGTTACTTGGAGAAAGGGCTGTGAGCGAGTTGTTCTCAGCTCTGAAACGTGGACATGTGATGTCCTCCAGGCTCAGAAAACGTATAGACGTGTATAGAATTTCCCAGCGCATACGTGCAGTTGTACATGTGTGTACTCGTATGACAAACTAGAATGAAGGAGTATGGTAACAATCCAAAAGAGTCATGCTGCACATTTATTTGGTTGCAGAACCCATCACTTTGAGTGTACTATATAGGGATAACCTGGGCTGCTTCGCAAAATTTTTGGCAAGATATAATTAAAATAAGCCTCATCCCTTCTCTCCCATCACTTGTACAATGTAGTTGTAGTGTTGTTGTTGTTTTTTTTTAACATCTTTGAGTCTCTCACTAAACACAGGCACAAGACTTCGGGGTTTCAAAGGGTTGTCTGTATATGTCTGCTCTGTCACAACCAGTGGTAGAATAGCTCCTCATAATTTGACTCTCCTGTTTTCCCCCTGCAGTGTGCAGCCGTGACCGTCCCTGTCAGATGTCTGAACCTGCAGGAGTACCAGAGTAAGAAGCTCCTGGATGATTACAAAGTGGCAGTACAGAGGTTTGGAGTGGCTGACACCACAGATCAGGCTGTGCAGGTTGCCAAGCAGCTGGGTATGGGCAGTTATCAACTAATAGTTTCCTGTTTCTTTGCAAATACAAAAACAGAACTGGTTTAAAGCATATCACAGCAGTTACAAGTAAAGCTGTGCAAGACCAGACTGTAAGACACTACTCTTATCAATCAAAGTATAGTGGTTTCCTTGTCTACCATTTATAACATGATTTTACAAGTACATAATATGATCTTGACAGTGGCATCTACTAGCACCTATGTCTTATACCTATGTCTTCATATCCTGTAACATGACCCGTGCAATCTTATATTTCCCCCCATCTCTCCCTGTAGCACCTGTGAGAGAATATGTCATCAAGGCTCAGATCCTGGCAGGTGGGCGGGGCAAGGGCACTTTCAGCAACGGGGTCAAGGGTGGGGTCAAGTTCACCACTGTGTAAGTAGGAAACTCAAGTTCCAAGATTGCTTCCAACATTCAATGTACCAGTTTTGATTTGGCTCCATGTGATCGGTTTAAGAAAAGTATCTAAAGAACAGGTCTAGCTTTCTATTTATATTTCAGTCCATACCATGGTATGGATGAAATATATTGTGTTCTCTCATGTTTCTTCTTCTCCTCCTGCCAAACAGTCAAAGGGATTCAACTCCGCCATCATTCAGCCAAATGACTTGAAATTTGGCATGGAGGTAGAGTGGGCCAATACCCACAGGCGTTTTTTTCATTTTTTTGATACATGCCTTTGAAAAATTTTTATGAAGGTTTTTTGGGGCATTTTTCGCCAAAAAATGGATTTTTGGATCCTGAGCCCTGGTTTTACAACCAAATGATCTGAAATTCGGTATAAGGGTACCTTGAACATGTGTCTACAGAATAGCAGTCACATATTTGGCATACACCACTTCCAAATGACTCATTTGGGGGACTTTAATGGCTATTTTCAGCAAAAAAAGGGCCAAAAGTGCTGTACCCGTTCCATGTTCTATCTAAAGAATGGCCGGTTCCATCCATGGAACACCTGTTCCATTGCGGGTTACCTGAGGTCACATTGCACCTAAGTGGTGCGTAATGACACACACATTCAATTTTATGTGCCTAAGACCTTTAAAATGTATCAAATCTGATGATTGTTAGTTTTTGCATACCTGTAATAAGATTAGGCCACACCAATTTATTTCCTTGGTTAACGGATTCGCCGCTTCGTTTTTTTGCCAAAATGAAATAAAAATAAAAAAAGAACAAAAATCCATACTCTCGGGTCCCGAATTGGGGCCCCAAAATCCACCCCGTACGTTGTAATTTTTCAAAATTTGGGCATAGTTAACAGCGTTAAAAATACATTGCTTCAAGGCAGAAACATTTTTCTGAGTGCAATTTGTTCGGAAAGCTAGGTTGCCTCTTCAAAAGTTCGTCAAAAAAATTCTTTTGATATAGAACTCGCCCCCCACCCCCTTTGCACATGTCACCATTCATGGGACAAAACTTCACTGACGACAGTCAAACGTACGGCAGATTTACTAAGTCATCGTGCCTGTAACAACATATCATCTCCCTTTTAGATATATATTATATTTCATTTAGAAACACGTATTGTGTCGGAAACATGTGCTAGTAACGGGCGTTAAAAAATCAGCCGAACATATAAACTCGGCCTGGGCGGCACATGCACACACACCTTCAAAACGATCTTTTTTCCAGGGAATATGTAAAAATAACACGACATAACAATGTATTCTGGCATCACAAACTGTATTACTCTCAAAAAGTACAAAATCCTACCGCAAACATGGGAATTTGGCAAAGTAAAAAGTCCTCCATGCACGTAAGTCCATTCACTAATTCTGACGGTCGGAAGAGTCCACTTCGAGTAGGGGGAAACAGGTTCTATTAATTATAGAAATTACTCTGTGAAAAATACTACATGTGCATGTGGCATTCTAACAAAGTTACATCTTATTTAGATACCTATAAACAGGAGTACAATTGCAAATAATGCTTCAATTATTACATCTAAATTTTTTAATAAAATCGTTCCCCCTACAAATAAAAATCCCCATACATCAAAGACTTTATAGTGAAACCCTAGACCATTGAATTTGTGGCAACTTGAAGAGTATGTCAATGTGGCTATTTTGTTTGAATGATGGCTATGTATAATGTAGCTGTAGCATACCTAAAGTGTATAAAGGGAAATATAAAATGTATACTAGTATTTGAGAATTGGGGAAAGATAAAAAAAGAAATAAAATATCTGTAAAAGTAGTTAATTCTTTTGCCAATAACTTACACATTCCTGGAAATTTGTCTAAAGCATATATTTAGGATATTGTAAATTTCAAGCTCTAAATAACTTCCATATCAGCCAGACACAATAGAATGCCCAGCCCAGTGGTAAGCTGTGTGCCCTGAACTAAGAAAACAATGGGATCTGAACAGAGCACCCTAATTTAAACCACTCTTTGGAACTTTGAAAGATGAATAAAAGTGAAACCAGTTGGATGGGAGTCTTGTCAACTGACAGTTTGTTGTTCATACAGTAAAGATGTGTATCTTGCAAAATAATACGAATAATTGTAAAGGGATGTAAGAGAAGTTGCTCATGTACATGTAGTAATGGTCCTTTCAGTTCAATAAATGTCTAATATAATGTCTTATATCATTTTGTAACTTAATGGATTGCTTACTACATGGCTGTATGGCAGGTGGTCTCAAATTTTTATTTTTATTTTTTTTCGCCCGCCCGCTCCATTTTTTTTCTAGAAAAATCCGTTAACCAAGAAATTAAATTGGTGTGGCCTTAGTAAAGCTTTCGAGATTCAAAGTACTTGTTGTTGCATCTTTGTTCTCATATACATGTAGCTACTATTTAATTCATTTATTATTTGAGAACCTTTGCCAGTTTTGCACTGGGGTAAGTTTGGAATAGTCCACTTTTGCGTGGGAGGGAGATGGACTGAAATATGCTGTATTTGCTCCCAAGCAAATGTCGGCCTTTCTAGTTTAACTTATTGAATCATTTATCATTGTATAAAACCTTTTATAGTATTGATAAAAAAAGGAAACAGTATTATGAAACTGGAGTTTGATAATGTTTTAAGTTTCTTTTGCTATGTTGTGTTGTGTTCTAGTCCAGATGAGGTTGGCTCCCTGGTTAAAGACATGCTGGGCTTCAAACTGGTGACCAAACAGACCCCACCTGGTGGTGTTCTGGTACAGAAGGTTAGTACAAACCCTTGGGAGATGTGTGTGTATGACAAAAAGGTATGAGGCCAATGAAGCTGAAAGGTCTGAGAACCGCCAAACTGGACAGATCTTCCTATTAAGCTGTACCTCTCATGTTTATCCATTCATAACTGAAGCACTGAAGTGTACATGTATGAGTGTAACAGTCGCTGTGATTGACACCTGACAGGTCATGGTTGCGGAGTCTGTGGACATCTCACGGGAAACGTACTTCGCCATCCTGATGGACCGGGAGACCAACGGACCGGTCATCATTGCGAGCACCGAGGGCGGCATGGACATCGAGGAGGTGGCCGAGAAAACACCAGACCGTATTTATAAGGTAATCTTTTGTCTTATTTATGCTGCATACATTAAACATTGTTTACTTGTAGTTCTCCTTTAAAGTAAAGAGCAAAAAAAATCACAGATGAGCATTCTAACATTCATCAACGTATACTATAAAGCCTGTACAATCTCCCTTGTTACCTCATGTACAGAGTTATTGTTTTGGGTCTCTAAATATTTTATTGAGGTATGAAATCTCATATTCCCCCTGTATATAAACAGCAACCAGTTGATATCCATGAGGGTCTGTCTGCGGCTGTAGCCAGGCAGCTCGCTCAGAACCTGAAGTTTGAAGGAGAGAAGTTGGACCAGGTAATTAGTAGCTTTTAACTTTGTTGTAAAACCTTCATCTTAAAGTTAGTTCATGGCCAGTGAGACTTGATGAAATTAAGGGAATACAATGTAGCTTTGTGTCAAATTGGGTTTAGTTATTCAAAGCAGTGTACTAGTGTATAAAATGGCAACACTGTGTGTACAAATGACATCACAAACAGGTGCAAAATGACATCACAAAATGCTGTGTTCAAAATGACATCACAAACTTTGTGCTCCAATTTTCTTCAAAATGACATCACTGCACAGTGTGTACAAGTATATATATGTCTATAGATACTGTGCACAAACTAAATGACATCACAAAACCTGTGCAGAAAATGACATGACTGTGCCCCTCCCCCAGGCCACGCTCCAGATCATGAACATGTACCAGCTGTTCCTGTCAGTGGACGCCACCCAGGTGGAGATTAACCCGTTTGCCGAGACGTCCGATGGCAGAGGTCAGTTATTGAGACTGAAAACATGCAGAAAAAAATGATCACTTACCCCCTTACCCTGCAAAAAATGCCAACCGGCAGGTCAAGACTGTAAGCATGAAGAACCCCACCCCAAATTGCACCAACTCTTCTATATGATCCTTCATGATCACTTCTCCCCTTGCCATGTGTGGAATGTCTACATGTACCTAGGCCTGGTAACTTCCAGGTTTAACATTGCAACATTGCAACATTGCAGATAGTGTAATTGTCACATGAGTGTGTGGATAGACACATCTGAATCTGACTTGAGCTGTGTGTTGTTTCAGTGATCTGTGTGGACGCCAAGATCAACTTTGACGACAATGCAGAGTTCAGGCAGAAGGAAATCTTTGCGCTGGACGACTGCTCAGAGACAGATCCACGGGAAGTACAGGCACACAAACACAACCTCAACTACATTGGCATGGACGGCAACATCGGCTGTTTAGGTAGGGCATGCTCATGATATAGAATGATCTGGTAATTTGAAAAAAATGTCTGGTATGTTGATAAAATTGTCTGCATTGGCATAAAATAGAGAAATGTGTTCTACATTTTAAGCTAAGCTCTTTAAGTCATCGGGAGAGGTAAAACTTCATTTTGTCACTGGCAAAATTTATTATATGTACGAAATACATGTAGCAGCTTTTATTTCCATGTGTTAGCAGCTTGGGACATTTTTTGGTAACCCGTTGACCCCTTTTCCAGTTAATGGAGCAGGCCTTGCCATGGCAACCATGGACATAGTGAAGCTGCATGGAGGGGAACCTGCCAACTTCCTGGACTGCGGGGGTGGTGTGACAGAGGGACAAGTCTTCGAGGCCTTCAAAATCCTCACCTCGGACCCCCAGGTAGGCAGCTGGTGTCAGTATGGGAGACAAAACATGATAGTATTCACTTTGCTGTATCCATGTGTAAAAAGCATATAATAGCTGTATTACTGGTATTACTAACTTCATCCCAAGGTAGTGAAGTGATGTTCTTGGCCTGTCTGTGTTTCTGTGTCTGTATGTTTGTTTCCAGAATTCCCAATATGCACAGTGAAAGGTTGTCATATATGTGCTGCCATTTGTGTCTGTGAGACAGGAAGGGTTGCAAAGCAGTATGGGTAAGGCAATGAAGTCTGCCATTCCTGATTATTATTTGTACTGATTTGGAACGTTCTGCTCCAGGTGAAGGCGGTGTTGGTGAACATTTTCGGCGGTATCGTGAACTGTGCCACCATCGCAAACGGAATAACTGCAGCAGCCAGGGGCATCGACCTCAAGATTCCTCTCATTGTCAGACTAGAAGGTTAGTTATGTATATGAAGGTTACTCATCCAGGAATGTAATACTAGTACTATAAATCTTGGTTTAATCAATACCCTGGTGTAAAAAAAAACAGAGTTACAGACATTTCACTGCTATCGAGCAATCAAAGTTTTCAGATAATGCAATAACAATAACACATCAGGTCAGTTGTTTTTTGTGACACTTTTTTGTGAAGTTATAGGAAAGATATCCTTTCATTTGGGCTTTGTTGTTCTTGTCTACAAATCTCCTTTTACTCTTCCTCAGGGACAAATGTTGATGAAGCCAAAAGGATCCTGAAGGAGAGCGGTCTTCCCATCATTCCTGCAGATGGCATGGGAGAGGCTGCAAAGGCTGCTGTTGAAAGCATACAATAACAAACTTCGAATCACCGGATGAAGTCTTGTACAGTGTTTCGTGATCTTAAGTGTACAAAATTACAGAAGATTGTTGTGACTCGTGAGACTGTCAGAGTAATATATGATTTCTCTGGGATTGACGAATAAGTATACATGCACTACTCTGAAAATTATACTGGTTCCGAATCACTGAACTTAGTGTAAAAATAATATGATAGTAAACATATGTTTAGGTACCAACCACGTATTTGATTTTATATTAAAAATATCCAAAGCACTGGAAAGGGATGTGATTAATAATTTTATTCATGGATGAATTCATTATGTGACAGTATTAAATTTACCTCACTACACAAATGTACTAGAAAGTTTGATCCAGTGGTGGTGAGATATTTGTCTGTCTGTAGGAGGGAATATCCTCCATAGCAGGCTGTAACTATGACATTTGTTTGTGTTGCCATTTTTTGCTGGTGCTGGTATCTGAGTGATACTTGCTTCTCATGTCTGCCCATTCAACATTAGTCTGCTATGATGGTTAGTAAGGGGTGTGGGAAATAAAAGTGTTATGATTTGTGTAACTAATTTGCAAGGATGAAAGAATGGTGCTCTTGTATTCTACCCTATAGTTTCCTTTATTAATTTTGCCAGGATGTTTTGGCAGTGTTTGAAACAGTGTCTCTGTTTGTGGTTTAGTAGCATAACTCAGGAAACTATGATGTGAAGCATTGTCAGTAAATTATTTGTGAAGCATAATTTGTCCCCAGTGCTGAACCCCATCCACACATAGGTTAACATGCCAGTCCCTGGTTCTGAACACCATCCACACACTGGCAAACATGTCTGTCCTTGGTGCTGAACACAATACACACACACAAGCAAATGTGCCTGTCCTTGGTGCTGAACACCACCCATGTAGATTAACACGCCTGTCCTTGGTGCTGAACACAATATACACACAGGCAAACGTGGCTGTGCATGGTGCTGAACACAGCCACACACACACACACACACACAGGTAAACATGGTTTTCCCTGGTGTGTAACACAATCTGCACTTTACCCCTACGTAATTAGGGTCAGTCAGCTTCCGTTGTATCGATCAAACGCGGTCTCTATCAATCACCATCAGTACTGCAGCAAAACGTCTGCTTGTCATAGCGGAGGCTAATGTTGGTTGCAGCGCCCTGTCGACCTGCAATGATTACTTCAATAGCTAGGGGTCCCCACAGCCACCTCACTCGATACACTGGACACAAAAGCGCGTTTACACTAAGTGGAAACTTCAAGATAACTTTTCTGACTACAGCACATACACAGGACGTGCTGTGCCCAGAACTGTGTTCCACTTGGCTGCTTTTTCTTCACGAAAAGCCGGGCGGGACGAACCGCCAACACAGCCGGGCACAGATCACACCTGTTTGTACAGTACGATCTACATGTTGTACATGGTAATATTAGTATCCAAAATTGCCAATTACACTCATAACTAGATCATGGAACAACACATACGAATCCTTGTGTGTATATTGTAGCTTTATTATCATGTGGTAATTGTACCCGGATGAGCTGCAACATGGGTGAAACCGCTAACGTTCAGCTGATTTTAGAATCACATTCTGAGTCAAAACTTTCACACATAGATCATTGCTTCCCGACCCTCTCTAAACCATATGGTCTGGGTCGACTCGTCAGTAAGGTCATTGTCTGTCCTTGGTGCTGAACACCATCCACACACAGGTATACATGTCTGTCCTTGGTTCTGAATAACATTCACAATTTCACACAAAGGTATATATGTCTGTTACTGGTGCTGAACACCATCCACACATGTGAACATGCCTGTCCTTGGTTCTGAACACCATCCACACAGGTGAACATGCCTGTCCTTGGTTACTGAACACTATCCACACACAAGTGAACATGCCTGTCCTTGGTGCTGAACACCATCCACACATGTGAACATGCCTGTCCTTGGTGCTGAACACCATCCACACAGGTGAACATGCCTGTCCTTGGTGCTGAACACTATCCACACACGGGTAAACATGCCTGTCGTTGGTGCTGAACACTACACACACACAGGTAAACATATTGGTCTTCAGTCTTAGGTTCTGAACACCATCCACCAGACGCACCCGTGGTTGTATTTTATCACTAGGATGTTAACTGACTGTAATGTGTTGTTTTTGTAGATTTTCCGTTCAACAGATTAAGTAAATGAAAAATAGATAAACGCGTCTTCCCCTCCTTTCACCCATGAGCGCACTGCGACACCCTCTCGCCCTGCCATCCCACCGTCGCCACCGAAATTCAATTTCGCCAACTCATTACGGCGCAAATATAATCAAGGCAGTGTCGTAATGCTTCGCTAAGCAGCTTTAATTCATTAACATGGGCGCAATCAACACCCGGTATCAACATTTAATGCAAATGCATCACATTTTCCTGAATCTATCATGCAATAATCTTCTTGTTTATACAAGCTCCCTCCTGACAGATCGTCTTCGTCGGGCGATTTTTTTTCTTGGACCTACAAACTCTAAAATGTAAAGCCGATTTGAGGCGCGCTTGCGTGATCTATATTTGTTTGAAAATCAATGCGGACTAAGGTGGCCATCTTCCCGCCATTACATGCTCACCTACCGGACAATTGACCGTTGGAAACTGTTGATGATGAGTAAATATCAGGTCAGGTGTTTTTTGATGCACAGGTCAGTGAAAATCTGAGGGGATAGGTTAGCACTTTTATTTCGGTACCAAACCCCCTCCCCACCCCTTCTCTTGATCGACACACCCTAAAGTGTTGGCCGTATGCTGCACTAGTCAGTGTAAAACACGACGGGTGACGGTTTGGACATCCCGCAAATACGCTTGGGGATATTTTTTTTGTCTTAATTTGCTTTGATCATTGCAAAAATAACAGTCCTTACTTATGATGCATTTTTCTTTGTACTAAGTAAGAAAATACACTATTACACATTTTTACACTATTCTCCCTCAGGTACGGCATATCTGTCAATCATCCTGACGTCACGGGACGGGCCACGCCCATTCATCTCGTGCCTGTTCACTTCCTCCTGTAGGCAAAAGACAAATCAATCCGCAATTAGCTTCACAACAGGGATTGATTGAACTTGTTCGTTGACCTTGAGCTACATCGGGTCATAACCCCGCTATTTTCGCGATGTATTTAGTCCAACTAGCCAACGTTAGTACTGCCCAAGCAGAGAGTTTTAGGCTTCGGCTTACTGTATTTTTGACGTGTTTTTAGGCGTTTTTAATCGGGCTTTCTGATATCTTTTTTACGACAAATGTATATTGTCTGGCCAATTTGATACTGCCTTTGCAGCCACCAAAAGATCTGCTTGGAGATTAACACGACCTGTCGACATGAATGGCAAGACAATTTTCTGCACTTGACTCATTAGACGGACCCAAACCAAATAATTTCTGGGGGTGGGAAGGTTGTAGTGCATTTGCTCTTAGGCCTGTCTAGTGTAATATAGGTCCAACAATTATATCTTAATCGAAAAAATAATGATAACTAGAAAACTGTTACTCAAGCAACTGAATAGATTCTAAAAACTACCATACGTATCGAGTAGCAACCACTACTTTTCTTTCGTCAGGAAAGTAGAGGATGCTAGTTGAAACGTATGACAGTTTTCACATCTATCCAGTTGCTTGAGTAACTGTCTCCTCGTGTATCTCATTACCTGTATTTCTAGTCTTCATCGACACTCTTTCATTTACTTTTGAACAAAGTGAACAAAATTCGACCACCTTCCGTAGACACCTGTCCTACTATCCGAGCGATGAACGAATTTTACTTGTCAACGTTCGTCACGTTCTCATCACCGGAGTTTCCATTAAAAAGTGGCGGGAAACCGGACTCTGGCCGATCAGACGACAGTTGTCTCTATGGGAAACTGTAGACCCGCTCGGCGCCCGTCTGCGTCCTCTCCTCCTCCGCCCTGTCCTCTGCGCGCCCTTCACTCCCCAACACGCGCCCTGGAAGGTGAAAACAAGGCAGTAGTATGGAAAATACTTGTTTCTCAAATTTTACTCTGTTATGCTTAGGGCACATTTCCAAACCAGGACCCGGCAGGGCTTTTTGCGTGAACGAAAATCAAACAATTCATATCAACAATATACTAGTATACAAATAGTGTTAATAATTAGTGTAAGAAACTTTTTTGTTTGTTGTCCTTTCTTCATGTATCATACTTTAATAGTTCATGGAAACTTCCCCGCCGCAGTACAGTGACTTTGATAAGGTCTACTACAACTATACATTTAACAACTGGATACAAATGAATTTGTTGATGATGTTGTTGTTATTGCTATCCCTCATTTGGCTCTTCCAAATATCGTAAATAAAGCAGTTTCTTCGGCGAATCCTAAGAAAGATTGACGTGCAGGATTCTTGCTAAGCTCTCGCTCGGTAGGAAGCCTACAAATCGCCGCCAAAGCCGCTAAGGTTGCACGGCAAGTTGTCGGATTAGTCGGCAGTAATCCGCAGCGCTGGATCGGGATTTTCTGCTGTGAGGGAAAGGGGTTCTACATCTCCGGATCAACTATAAAGAGGATTATCTTCTTTTTTTTAAGATTGGCCCACGCGTGGGCTTTAAGCTGCGCATGACAAATACGGCCTTAACGACACTAAGGGGGTTATAAACTGGGATGACCATATTTGGGGTTATAGGCTATATTAGGCGTTGGTTACAGACCAGCTGTTGACCAATCACAGTGGTTGAATCAAAAAGCCTCAAATTTAAAGTTGACGACCAAGGAATCCGTAATATGATAATAACGAAACCTGCAACGACTAAGTTTGGTAGGATGTAACCTTAATTATTAGAACATCCCGCCAACCAATCACAATTAAGGACGCGGAAAATCTTATCTCCAAGCAGATCGTTGGTGGCTGCAGTATCAAATTGGTCAGGCAATATCCATTTGCCAGGCAGTTACCATTTAGAAAAAAGCCAGTACAAAAAATAAAGCCCAAGAAAAACCCATAAAACACGTTAAAAAAATCATCCGAAGCCTAAACCTCTGCTTGGAGAGTACAGAAAGTCTGTTACAAGCACTCTGATTGGCTAAAACCTCGCCCCGGTGTGTGATCTATTTATGTCCTGACTTCCACTCATCCCGTAAAACATGAAGCCATCAATCAAACAACCTGCGATCAATCACGTCATCAGCACATCCATCACACGTGACGGCTGAGTATGTTCGAGTCGGGGTAATATTACGGTTATCGGGATCAAATATTGCTGATGTTACAGGGGTCAAATGTTGTGACACTGACATATTTTTTTCTAATTTCATGATTGCGTAACTCTGATCAACTCTGTTGTACCGCCCCCTGCTCAGGAGCGCTTTTTGCCAAGTCAACATCTTTTCTGTGAAACATTGACTGAAGAATGTGGTAGCATTTCAAATATATAACAGGTTTTAGATATGTACATTTAATATTTGAAATGTACAACAGATTTAAATAATAAGAATTATATTGCTTCAAAAATTCACATCCCAGAAAAAATCCTCAAGTTTCTATGTCGCACAAAAACCTCAAACCTCACTTTGCTCTTCAGAATATCTTTTTTCTTGTTTTTTGCATTCACGTTTACATTTGGTGACGCTATTACTGTTGTTGTCATCTTTGTTGTTGCTGTTGGTGTTGTGTTCACGAGATAGAGGGAGTTGACAGGTAAAAGGCGGTTGTAGTTTTGGGCCATCGTATTCCTTGACGCCCACAAAATGGTGCTATTCTTCATCATCAAGCAAAAACATACACCCAGGTGGAAGGCAATCCTTTGATTAACTGCTGAGCGGAAAACACACGGCGACATGCGGGAAGTGAGGACGGTCTCTGGGCACGGATTGGGTTTCGCGCCACGCCGACCGACCGACATTGAAAGGGTGATTACACAGAAACAGGTGGCTTCCGTGAGCAGAAATAACTCGGAGCTTTTAGAAAGCCAGACAGCGGGAATATGAAAGTTAACGACGCAGACGGAACCGTTATTTTTCACATTTACTGGAAAAAATTCATCACCATGGCCGTCCGTTTAAAACGATAGACTGCTCAGTTGTAAGTAGAGAACTGGTGAAATGGTGGTAACCATGGTGACTTGCAGGGACAGTCCTTGTCTCCATGGTGATTTACATACGGTACAAGCCTGTCACTATGGTGATTTACGTGTAGAACGTCCGGAACATTAGCCCTGTACGCCCGGTCACACGACCCTGATAGATGGACCGGGGAAGCGGCTTAATCAGGTGAAATCACCGTCTGTGTGTCACCACATTCACCGGGCGGTCGGAGCTTAAACTGTCACATGAAACATTTTTTTCTGAAACTTTTCAAGTGTTGGTGTCACTTTTGAGTGAATCTGTGGTGACCTATAGACCGCCCTCTTGCTGTCGTGGACTAAGCTGGCCGCTAGGGGCGCGAGATTATGTCAGCCATGCTAAGGAAGCTTTAATCGTCACTAGAACCACCTTACATTTCATGTTTCGGTGTTTTTCTTTTCTTCTCTTTAGTCTGTGGTCACTGGTGCCCTCTCCGCTTCTCTGTTGGCTGACGGATCGCTGAGTGGACTATGAGCGCGATTTTATATCCGTCAGGCTTTGAAATCTTCGAAAAAATTGTCACGCGAACTTTTTTTCTGAAACTTTTCAAGTGATAGTGATGTTTTAGTGCGTCTGTGGTGACCTAGTCCGTCGGATGACTCCCCGCGGGTTGACGGATCGCCGGGCGGACGCGGCATGACAGACGGCGTATGGCGGCAGTCGTTAAGAGCACGGCTAGAGTTTCACGGCCAGGATTTCATGATTGTCGCCGTCATCAGTGGAACGACCCGGACAGACGGTTTGACCTACAGGTCAACTTCACTTCTATCTGTGGAGGACATTCGTTAATCCATCGATTTTACACTTTAGTGGAGGAAAAAAAAGAGCTCTTCTAATTCTCAGGGCTTTTTTTCAACCCGGTTATCGACAAATGTCATTTGCAGCAATTATCATGTGTATTTGTTTTTGCTGTTTGTTTATCTGTTTAGTCAACGATAGTCAAACATTTAAGTAGAAATATAGTTTGTATATTTATCTGTCGTCCTAAGCCCGTGTGAGAATTTGTTAATTAATCGATTCATTTATTTTCCATTTCTATTATTCAATTGTTGTCTGTTTTCTTAATAAAACAATTTGTACGCCGGAAAGTTAGGTCTGACTTTGCCTGTGAGTCCCTGCCACGTCGCTGGGATCCGGAGCGAGCGCCCGCTAACACTCCTGCCTGGCGCCGGGGAGACAGGTGTGCCCATGTGCGCCCCTGTTATTCACACGTCCCTCCGCGCCCTGTCATCATTCCATGGCTCCTTGTCACCTTAAAATGTCGCCAAAGGCCAAACAGGGAGTTCCCACAATGCGGCGGGCTCCCCGGACATGTCTTTATGAGTCCCTGGTGACGTAATCGTGCCGGTGTCACCTGGGATATGCTGATCAGCTGGTCCTGAGGGGGAGGGGGGCATGCAGGCACACACGCACGACTAGTCCCTCTGAAATACCGGATTAGCAAGCTTAAAGCGCTCAGCCCTTCCTCAGAATGTCATTCCCAGATTCTGAAGCGCGATTAATGATCTTAGAGTGTGTATTAAATGCTATCTAATTGTGCATATGATAAGCTTGGCTGTGTTGAATGCACATCTTGTTTTGTATTGTATTGTTAACGAAATATCTTAACTTTTCATAATACTTTATCAAATGGCGTCCGTATGTTTAAATGACACAGTCGCAGATATTTCTGTAAAACTTTATTAACTGGTATTGATATCAATCCCATAATTTAGTCGTTCAATCTTTCATTCTTTCTTTCCCCGATTCCGTAAACTTTACGTCGCCATATAAGTCACAATGCCATAAGCGCTGCCAAATGGATTTTCGCGATGTTCCTAATTTGATAAGATCCCTATAAAGAGCTAAGTGTGACTCAGATATGCCTTATCACGCCCCATCAGTCTGTATTCTCCAACGTTAAATATACGAGTCCTCATATTACCCAATAAACAGTATATGGTCTCTCTAAAACTCTGTTAGAGCTCACCATAAAAATTTCCTAGCATAGTTGTAAGTATGACACGAGCGCCCCAACGGTTGTGTGGGCTTGACTTGAAAGCTTGGGAAAGTGAGAATTATAAAACGTCGTCTATCTGTTGTCTTTGAACAGAAGGCTGCAGACCCATTGATCGAATATCGTAGACGACAAACTGGTGCCGCATTAAAGTTATCTGATGTAGATAGAGCACCCTCCACTCATCTTTTCAGCTTAATATGTCAGTAAAAGTACAAAGTCTACCCTTCTAGAGTTGTCAATAGTGATGTAGCTTTGTTGTTCTGACTATCAGAGTAAGCATGCCACGCCCCTCATGGTACAAAGCCACGTAAATGTCGAATAGCCTCGCAAAATGCTGCGAAAGCACTGTCTATTGTTTCAGCTATTGTGTCTGTGATAGACATAGACTGTTCTAGGTGCCAGACTAGTACATCTAATCCACGGAGACTACAACGGCTCAATATATGGGCTTTCATACACTGGAAGCGGAACTGGGGCAGGATTTATGGCTTAGCCTAGAAGCCAGGCCGCTTCGGATCAACAGTTACCCCAATCACAACAACAACGGCGATTGAAAAGGCGCACCAGGCCTGACGACTCCGGGTCCAGACTTAAGGTGTGTACATAACAGGTCCGTGTTGGTGTTCGTTGTCATTTCATGGTTGATCCATCCGTAAGTCCGTCTTTCAGGCTGTATTTGGCACTAACAATTTTGGCCTACACACCTGCCCAGCAAAAATGTGCTAGTGCCAAACAGAGCAAGAAAGAGGCAGGCTGTAGACCGGGTACACCACCTCACACCTACTCCCAGAGGCACCCTGTGCTTAAGGTGTGATAATCATAAAACTTCCCCACTTATCTTTTTCTTGTACTTTCATAAACCAGAAATTTTCTTTAAAAAATAAAGACATGTCTACAGAAAAGATGCTCACTATAATTTTATTTTGTCTAAAAATTGAAAGGATCAATTGTATTGAAATACTACAGAAAAACAACCACCATGATTCGTAAAGAAAAGTGATCACCCTAAAATACTAGTGTCAGACATTTGTGCGCCTCGTTTTGAAGAAGCACCACGAAACGACCGTTGCTGTCCCATGGTGCTTTGCCCGCTGTCTGGGCAGATCAAATCAGCCGCCATTATGGCGGCCATTACGTGATAATAGAAGGTCAGCAGTTAATGAATTTTAGAAAGGTCAATTCAAATCTCATGTGGCAACACTGGTGAAGTCTTTTATTTTCAACATCAAAAGAACGGATAAAGCGACTGTCGTTGTCACGACTACAAAGCCATAGCGATGACCTTCAGCTGACTGATTTAGTGCGTTTTCGACACTTGCATTTAGAATAACAATATATTTTTAGCAAATCCGTATTTTCAAAAAATACAAAGTAAAAATATCAAACATGCAATTTTTCGCATTACACACCAAAATGAACAGTGACTTTTTTTTTACAAAATAACACCATGACTAGCAGTATCCAGATAGATATACAGGACGACTCGAAGTCTTGTGTTGTTTCCCAAATTTTGACAAAATAATTGACTTCACCAGCGCTGACATACCTTTCCAAATATTGCAACATTTTTACGGGCGACTTGATCTGTCAGACAAAATACATGCAGTAAATTCTATGCTAGGTCCTTGATATTCTTAATCTATACTAAGATGTTTTAGACTGACTGTTCTATGTTATCCATTGTTCTGTGGCGTGGCGTACCCTCCGATGATCAGTTCCCGCCACAGTTTATGGCTGACTGAAGAATCACTGGTGTCTACGATCAGTGAATTCTACCAGTGCCATAGACCGTGAACGGGCACGTGTTGACGCCAAGGATCGTCTGCAAACCATCGTGTAAACTCCTCTCAGTAACACTGCAGCCCCGAGACTACATATCTGTCTTGATACAACAGACAAACCTTAAAAAATCACCAACAACAACCACATGAACAAGACCAGGCGCTTCTACCTATAGATCGTCCTGGACAATGGGAATCGCCCGTGTTCACAGACAAAGAACCGGCGGGACATGGGCAGGTATAACTCCCGCTAACAACACCTGGTGAGGCGGCTACCAACCACGGGTGTGCCCGACACCCCTCTCAACGTCCTACCTGCGTCTCGGCACACCTGACGTGCAGAGAGACGTCACGTTTTACCTGCTAAGACGTCCGAACGCGTCAGTGTTCTCACACGGCGACCATGTCTGAGTGACTACCTGGCGGCAGCTGCGATAGGTGAGACTGAGGGCGGACAGGTGAAGCTTTGGGCCGTGATCATCTTCCATTATGCCTGCCGCCCCGGGCACCGCTATTGTCTCCACACACAAAACTACCACATCATGTAGACTTAAGGGAATCAGCAATGATGCAAGAAAGGACCCGCGGGGAGGTTAACAATGAACAAGGGACTGAGGACAAATCGGAGTACTCTCCAAGCAGAGGTTTAGCGATAGACTTCGGCTTACTTTTTACGTGTTTTTAGCAGTTTGTATTGGGCTTATCTTTTTTTGTATTGGTATCTTTTTTTTCCTCGGTTATTGCCCCGCCAATTGGATACTGTCTTGCAGGCACCAAGGATCTCCTTGGAGATTAAAATCATAGTAAGGAATAGGATACTTTATTAATACACTAAGCTAATATACAAGGACAACAATTCTCTACCCTCTTCATATGACAAAATGTATAAGTACAGGTGACTACACATCAAGATAGAATATGAAGTTCTCCGAATTGTAGTCAATGGAGGAGAAATTTCCATTCAACACGAAGAAACATACAAAACATCCAGTTAACCCCCACTCAAAGCAGTTCCAAGCGATGAGGCTAAGGGGAACCCTTGAGGCGATTTTAGAACCTTAACAGTAATCATGATAATGACTTGTTGAACGTGGCTAACATGGTCTGTTGATCAGACAGTAGGTTCACGATCCCCCTTACAGAGCCACTTTTTTCCGTATATGAAATACTAATTCTGTGGATTATTTATTTTGAATGAAGCAATATAAAATGACCAGACCTTGATTCTGTGTCAAAATGCTGATGACGTGCTGAAATATTCAACTGCTGTGCAGGTGTGAGCAAATCAAGTGGAAATTCTGATGTTATTTTATAGGGAAGAGGGGGATGTATATATCTCGCATCCAACCAGCGTGCGACCTCGTTATTTCTAGAAAGGCTAGTCTGTACCAGACTGCAATACTATCGGTTGCTGAAAAATATAGACATGAATAACATGCCGAAGGAGTTAGCCGTTCATAGGAGCCCGTGAGTTGCAAAGTGTACTCCTAAGGCCTTCTATCTAGTCTGGCATATTATTCAGTCTATTTGGTCAATTGTTTGCCAGCAACATATTGGAGTCTGATAGAGTCTATAAAGATACAACAATTGCTTGACACACACCACTGGTCTTGAACGTACGTATACTACATTTCTGGTCTGTTTACTAATCAGGCTTCGGCTTATTTTTGACGTAGTTTGAGGCGTGCTATCTGCCTTTCTTTTTTGTACCGGTATCTTTAATTATCGACACCAAGTGGCGTATTGGATAATGTACCAGTCTTGTAGTCACCACAAGATCTGCTTGGAGATTAGGTCTGTTTTCTCGTCTATTTTTTCTTAGATAAAATGACGAAAGTAACGCTCTTTGGTGGCAAGGTAAGGAGTTCTAGTAATGACCACCCTTCATCGTTGATACCACGGTTTCCTTCAGGACTGCTCGCCGGTAGTAAAGGGCAGATGTTCACCCCGGAGCGATCCCGTCACCTGATCCGCCGTGCTGACATGATGGAGCACACACGGATGTCCTGGCAGACAGGGTTTCCAACTGACATATGTCACCGTTCTCTCAGCAATAACCAATTAATCGACACTCGATCAATCAACTAACCAGCATCTATGGGCCCATTACTTTCTTCCGGAAGCACAGTTTGATTCTGTTATCTGCAAAACTAACATTTTTAGACTGCCAAAATCCTGCTGAAATCTAGATGATATCCCGGTTGACTTTCGTGTGAGGAGGGTTTTGTTACGACGACACGAACCTCGGCTATGGATGACTCACTGTCTACCGGCCGCCATGACACTTGACAATCATGCATCAGCTGGCTGTTCCATTAACTAATGTATGCCTTGTTTTCATCTAAAACCTGACGAAGACAGAACACCCGTGGTACGACTTACACAGATATTGTAAAAGAAAACAAAAATTGAAATACAAAATGTTCAGTCCAGGTGACCATGTATGAGATGCACCTAAAAGTCCCTGATCTTGGGATTTGACCTTCAACCCATACTAACCAAGATAAATAGTTTTTCATTAGTTACTCGTTTATGCCAAATGTTTACACACAAAACTTCGGGACTCGCATTGCTTTAGAAAGGGTAAATGAGACTTTGTATCTTTTCTGGTATTACCTAAAAAGCAGATGAGGATAAAGTATGACATGGCCAAACATATCACACGAAAGAACACTAGTTATACATTGTTTGATTACTACGTTAGAATCAGCTGCGGATGTTGCATTGGACAATGTGTATATTTTGCCTGATGTTTTATATTATTTATGTCCTTTCTGCAAGGTTGCGCGGACAGGGACGTACAATAGAAGTTAACAGATCGCCCTTTGTCACAGAGTAACGCGTCACTGAACTAAATTCTCTACTTTATGTAGAGCCATAAAAGAAGCGGTTCTATTGAACGTCGCCATGGCTGGGCAAGCTATTATTCCTACCTATTTTTAAGCGGACATTTGAATGTTCACAGACCGTACCTACTAGGGCTTGCTCTTGTGTGTATACTTATAAAGCTTGTGGAGAAAAGAACAAGACAAAAACATCTGTTTCTCTCGACTTGAAGCCACTTTTGGTCCCGTTTCTTACGTAAGAGCAGAGACATAAATGCCGACAAGACCAGCTGTTTTTTTTTTCAATGCCCAGCGGGCTTAGCCAGCATAAACAGTATTTTTCCAGCGGTGCACTAACTAAGTTAAGATTTGTTCAAACAGAAGCCGGGATAAATACAAAATACCTCAGCCTAGTGATTATAGCTATGCGTATCTATTCACGACATAGGCGATATCAACAGGCAATAAAGATACATGCACATCACTGTATCGTTCACAGGTTAGCCGACGACTATACGGACAAGGCCCCATAGGTAACTCACCTATCCTGCAGGTGCGAAGCTCAGGACGTCTCACCCGCGGTACGTCTCCAAGCAAGTCCTTGACGCAAGTGATGTAACCGTCCTCCTGTTCGGAAGAGAAAGGGGAATGACTTTATTTCTCATTGGATTAACGTTATCATTCTTTCACATCCATCAACGGGTGGAAATATAATGTCAATACGACGGGGGCGATAAAGAAAATTGGGAGAATAATGTAGCTTCCTGGCGGGTTGACAGCCCGCCTTTGTTCCCGTGTCCCATCTGGGATGGTCGCTCCCGTGCAACCGTTCGCGGCTAATGAAAACTTCACACGCGAGGAGGAGAGAGGTTTTTCCTCCGGGGTCCCTTCAGCCACGACCCCCTATGACTTCCGTGTGACGGTCACTGACGTCAAATTGATAGCGCGCGATCCGGGGATTTGGTAGCCTGGCTAGTCTACAAGCAGAGGAGTAGCGACAGGAAACGGGGCATATGATAGAAAGGTCACAATCTTCCCCACCAACCTTTGCTTGAAGACTAAAAGCCAGTGTGCCATCCTGGTTAGTTTCGGTCTGCTCCGATAGTCTCTACTGGTAGCGACTATTGGAGCGGACGTAAAATAACCAGGATGGTACCCAGGGTAGGGATTTGGGGAGGGTAGATTGTATAATTGCTACCTGTGCGAGTAAGTTGAAGATCCCGTGTACGCCGAGAAAGCCTGTTGAACGGCAAAACTTCAAGCAGTTTTTTTCTGCCTGTATACAAAATTGCTATACCCTATTTTCTTTGGAAAGAATTGCGAAGTTTTTTCACATTTTGCATCCAGTTAGACTATGGAGGTATTTTCTACCTCCATGGTTGGAAAGAACATGTTAATCTATCCGTGAGTGTTGAATAATCTATGCTTATTGTCCCCCAATCGTCCAAAGTATTTCTATAAATTGCAGGCCGGGCACCCACCATACCTTGCATATTTCATTAACCATGCTCTTAAGTCACTGCACTGAATGGTTTTATCAAAAGGGCAGGAAAATTATTTCTGAATGGGGCATGAATAAATAATAAGGGAGGGGTGTGGCGGGCAGCGTGGTGGAAACCTCAGTCACGTGACTAGGGCGATGTCATGGATGGGCGGCAAACGACAATAAAGAATGCCAAGGCTGTTGACTTTGTGGTCACATAGCCTCCAGCTATGTACAGTAAATATGCCAATGTAAAATAACACAAGAAAACCTTATCCAATTGAAAAATAAATTTGTTGTACGTTGGTATTTTGCAGTAACCGGAATCGTTGTGTAGCCAATTTGAACTAAGTTCAAAATAAATGTATAGGTATGACATAAACCTGACTTGTAACGAGGCGTTTCATTGGTCGATGCCGTTCGTTGATCTCCAATAAAGCACTCACCGTTTACCGACTCTTGTCGGACTCTTTCCAATCTGCCAATTATCCACTCTTATCTTCACCGCCAATTATGCTGATTTTTATGACGCCAGATGGTGAAAATTACGCTGTCTCCTGTTTCATTTGGGATTTCTAATAGCGCCAATCTCCGCATATTTCACACATTTAGAAGCCTGGCATCAACAGGGGGAATTGAGGAATTGTTCTTGTCTCTTGAGAACTTTCCTGTTCCTATGCTGAACAGCTTTATCTCTAGATCTATTTGAAGCACCTGAGTGTTATTGCTCAATTGATCGATTTGTATAGCACCTGAATTTCCTCATTGTCCAACGATGCATCTAGAAACGGACCCTCGAAAGGTATTCCCCCTACCCCGCCTTCAAAGTGCAGTATTTTAAGGAGGTCTTGGAACTGATACTGTTCTTTTTTAATGGGATTTTGCTCTCTCCCTCTCTCTCTC